TAAATTGATAAACGATAAGATTAATTGTATTAATTCAACAATCATAGTTTTAAAATTTTTATTTAAAACAGAAGCTTTCAATTACAACTGTAATCATCGTCAGCTACATTTAGATGAAAAACACACATCGTAATAAACTCCGAATCACTTCTTGCCTTAACCATTTTCTTTACCAAACATTCATACTGCCGGATGTCTTTCAATATATCTTCGCCATACTTTGAACGAAGACGATCAATTTATTATCAACAAACAATATTGAAATAGTTAATCGTCTTCGTTCAAAGTATGGCGAAGGTATATTGAAAGACATCCGGCAGTATGAATGTTTGGTAAAGAATGTTTGGTAAAGAAAATGGTTAAGGCAAGAAGTGATTCGGAGTTTATTACGATGTGTGTTTTTCATCTAAATGTACTGACGATGATTACAGTTGTAATTGAAAGCTTCTGTTATAAATAAAAATTTTAAAACTATGATTGTTGAATTAATACAATTAATCTTAAGTGTTTAAAGTGTTTAGCTATTCTTCTTGAAGTTTTCGTCAGGTATTTTCTCTACGAAGTTTTTAGTTAAAATGAATGTAAAAATCATTTTTAGACTGACAAGAATGAATGCCAGAGTACACCGTGCCAAAACAACGGTATATGTATCAATTCCATAAATGCCTATCAATGTCAATGTGCATCAAATTATGCTGGTGTTAATTGTGAACAATTGATTTCACAACCATGTCTGAGTGCTTCATGCCTGTAAGAAAAGTAGTTTCTGACGTCTATAATAGGAGGAAAAGCAGCTGAAACACGTTTTTTTTGAAAATTTATTAGGAATAATGGCACTTGTCTGATGACCACTGGTACTGGATATTCGTGTGGTAAGTATTATGTCTGTTATGTGATGTAATACAAATTTGCTTTCGTATTTTAGTATGTCAATTCGGGTTTACAGGTTTGTCATTGTTTTCTACTTTTTATCCTGTTGTATTCAACAGCATCATTGTCGCATTAAAACATATGGTTCAGAGCAAAATAACGAGAAATAATACTCAATAAAGTTTCAGTCAATCATGTTTGAAATAATAAAACTTTGAGCATATTGTGTGGTAGCTCTTTCTGGAATAAAACTAAAGTGGGACAGGACCATCTAATAAACTTATTCCATTTCATTTCTGTACAGGTCCAAGGTGTGAATTGACAATCAATGCTTGTACCTCAAATCCGTGTGTATTCGGCACATGTATTCAAGTTCCCACTGGTCACTATCGTTGTCAGTGCACGTCAGGTTATACAGGATTAAATTGTGACACAGATATTCGAGAATGTATGAGCTCTCCATGCATTAACAATGGTACTTGCACAGAACCCATGCCCGGAATGTTTAATTGCAGCTGTCCAGTTGGTTATTCAGGTATGAGATACTAATATACATCTTATTATGTTTGTAATTTATTTCTATTTTTCCAACAGGTGTTCAATGTCAACTTGGTGGTGCACAATGTCTTACTATGCCATGTCTTAATAACGGCACTTGTACAGAGTTTCCTAGAGCCTATATCTGTTCATGTATTCCTGGTACCAGTGGAACAAAATGTGAAATAGATATTAATGAATGTGCCTCCATACCGTGTCAAAACGGTGGAACATGTATTCAGCCAACATTGAATACGTATAAATGTTTGTGTCCATCAGGTAATAAACTCGCATGATTGTATCTGATAAGACTCGATCATTATAATTTATCGCTACTATACGTTGTTCACTCAGATCTCAGCAGAAACTGGCTTCGCTTAGAATAGTAGAATATATGAATAGTTTCTGTCTTAGATGACTTTTTTTTATTTTAAGTTGTTATTTGCTTATCAATTTTAACAATCACAGTAGAATGAATGGTAGTTTCGATAAAAGCTCATTATTGTGAAAGAATTTTTAAACGGTTACGAATAAAGATGTCACATCTTTCGTTATTTTTTAGAATATGTTGGTTATAATTGTGAGACACCGTTAGATCCATGCTTGTCTACTATATGTTTTAATAATGGTTCGTGTACAAGAGTAAATTATACGCATGCTATTTGTTCGTGTTCGGTTGGATTCACTGGTACAGTGTGTGAAGCGCAAATTAATTGGTGTGCTACTAATCCATGTACCTACGGAACATGCATTAGTTTAAGTAATCAATACCAATGTAATTGTTATCCAGGGTATCAAGGTCAAAGGTCAGTTTCACATCACATCAGATGTTACATACAATTTGTTGTTAAGATATATTAATACTTAATTGGAAAAATCGTTTAGAGGAATAGATGAATAGAATTCAGACTATTGAAGTTGACTTCCAAAGTTGATCTTTACAAAGAATAATGTCATTTTAGGTGCGATTCCCCTATTAACTATTGTATGCCAAACCCCTGTTACAATAATGCTACGTGCGTACAACAAGCAGGAAATTATGTTTGTCAATGTCCTTATGGGTTTCAAGGTGCCACATGTGCAGTGATTGTACGAGCATGTCAAAGTTCACCATGTCTTAATGGGGGTACTTGCAATGAAGTGGCCCCTGGCCTACAGGTTTGTATTTTTATCTCTATTTACATAAATCTACGATAATTCACGAACCGTTTCATTCTTCTTATAGAATTGTACTTGTCCAACATTTTATCGTGGTCCATTCTGTCAATTACGTGACTCACCATGTGCTCGCTATTTACCTTGTGGAAATTATGGTGTTTGTATTGATACGATTGTTGGTTATCAATGTAACTGTCTATCCGGATGGACGGGAACAAATTGTTCTTCACAAATTCAACCCTGTTTATCAAATCCATGTCAAAATAATGCAACATGTATAAATCAATTATCAGGACTCGCGTACCAATGTATTTGTACACTAGGTAAAACCAAATATTTCAATATTGCAAAATAGAATCTTATCAAATTTTAGATTTTGACGCTTACTCTATTGTATCATGTAGTAGTAACAAAGAAAAAGAGCAACAGTCATTTTTTATTCCATACTCTCGAAACTGACAGAAGCTTTATTTGAGATAATTATATACATTCGAATATTTTCGTTGATTTTCTTCCGTTTAGGGTATGCTGGATCAATGTGTGAATTACAAATAAACACTTGTGTCAGTAATCCCTGTAGCAACGGTGGCACATGTATTGCGGGAATTAACCAATTTTCGTATGTATTGCAGAAGAAAACTATTGTTTTATTGTTTAAATAAGAATTTTTCGTTTCTTTGAAGTTGCATTTGTCCACCGTCTTATACTGGAATCGTATGTCACATCGTTCTCGATCCCTGTATTCAGTATGAATGTGTAGCAGGTATTGCCACACAAACCGCAAACGGTTTGAATTGTTCATGTAGATGTGCTAGTGGTTATACAGGAGTTTCATGTCAAACACCAATTAATTTATGTGATCAAGACTATTGTCTACGTGGCACATGTACATATTTGGGTCCTGGCATAGCTAATTGTACATGTCCAACAAATTATCAAGGATTAAGGTGTGAATCTCTTCTCCTTAATTACTGTAGCTCCTGTCCGTGTATCTATGGTTCTTGCCGGTCACTGTCAAATAGTTACGTATGCGATTGCTCAATCGGTTACACAGGCATTCATTGCGATACAAGACTTGATCTATGTCAACCACAAAATCCATGTCGTTATGGGCAATGTTTACCTAACGAAACTACTGGTTATCATTGCGTTTGTTTATCAGGGGCAACAGGACAAAATTGTACGGAGATTATTGATCGATGTATCGAGAGACCCTGTCAAAACAATGGCGTCTGTATACAAGCACCAGGTGTTCTTAATTCTTATCAATGTGCATGTCTTGCAGGTATTGCTGGCACTAGTGATATTAATCTTCCTCCGGGCATAAAAAGATTATTTCTTTCTAAGAAAATGCTAGATTATTTCAAATGATAGTGTTCATCATAGATAAGCAAAAAAATCATCATAGATATTAAAGAAACAAATGCAACTCTGCATTTTTAATCTGTCATTCATCTTCAAATTTAGGTTATGTTGGTGTTAATTGCGAAATATTAGTTAATCAATGTTCAACGATTACCTGTCAAAATAATGGTACATGCATTAATGTGGCCACAAATCCTCCTCGAGCGTACTGTCAATGTGTTCCGACCTACACCGGTCTGACATGTGAATATTCGTTCCGTGCTTGTACTAGTCAACCATGCAAAAATTTAGCAACATGTATTGATCTCAGTCTCACAACTTATCAATGCATATGCCCACTTGGTTTCTCTGGACAAAATTGTGATGTGAACATTCATGTATGCAGCAGTAGTACATGTAAAAATGGAGGCATCTGTATTGAACCAACTCCCTACTATTATATTTGTCAATGTACATGGCCATTTTATGGACAAAATTGTCAATTGGCTTGTGATCCTTGTTTGAGTTTTCCATGTCGTGGACCAAATTCACAATGTATATCGAGTTTAAACTATTTAAATTATACATGTGTATGTGCTGCGGGATTTATTGGCCCTTATTGTACAACAGTATATAATCCGTGTTCATCAGTTCCATGTCTAAATTCCGGTACATGTATAAGAACAGGTGAGAAATACTTCTATTTCTATATTGTCGTTTTCATTTGGTCATTCTTTGGATAACGAAAAAGTTAGTGCCATTAGGATATCGGACATCAATTTTTTAGGACTAACAACATTTGCTTGTGCTTGTCTACCTGGCTATAGTGGAATGTACTGTGAAATACAAACAAATCCATGCACAAGCTATACATGCGGCAGTGGTGGAACGATGATCACACTTGGATCAACGTCGTGTCAATGTCAATGTCCATACAGTTATTATGGTATCAATTGTCAATTAAATGTGTGTAATGCAAATCCTTGTCAATTAGGTACATGTGTGGCGCAATCAAATTTGACGTACACATGCAATTGTCCTCTAGGATTTACGTCTATTATGGGCGTGTAAGTTTAGCACTATTTATAAGATAAATTGACTATATATAATAAATTTTTCTGATTTATTTAGCTGTAGCGATATCGATGAATGTCAAACGATACCTGGGATCTGTTCTAATAGTGGACGATGCTTGAATTCATATGGGTCCTACCTTTGTTTTTGTCAAACAGGTTATTATGGTTTCAATTGTGAAACATTTGATCCATGTCGTTCGTCACCGTGTCTCAACGGAGGAAATTGTGTAAACATTCAGAATTCTAGATTTCGCTGTGATTGTCCGGCATTATTCACAGGTAAAAGTCATTGAAAATAATATCCTTTTTCTCTGCGTATAAAACTTATTTTTTGTCTAAATGAATTTGAGCAAATATTTTTTCCGATATAAAATATTATCTTACTGGTTTAGAATGATATATATAGTGAGTCCAAAAAATTATTGATTCACCTATATTTTGGGTTTTTTTTCATTGATCATAATAGTTAATAACTTAAGAATCCGAAAAGCGACTCAAGCTGATAGACAGATCTTTAATTACGGAAGATGTGTATGAGAATTTCATCAAAATTGTTAGTAATCGAATATCTAGGAAATCCAAACTCTAGAAAGTCAAATCGCTAATTTGACTGAAAATTGTTTATAAACACCCTAATCAAATATGACAAACATTTCTGGACAACATCAGAAAAAAAAACGTGAAAATATCATTCAGAACAATATCGATAAGATTATTGATTTGATGTCGTTGCGATCGTACATGTCACTGATTAATAATAATTCTACATAAAGTCTCCATCTCAGCATGTAGATCATGCAGTTGTTTACAACAAGCAGATTAGACAAAATGTCAGAAGTACATTATTATAATCGGTATCCCACAAGAAAACTGTAGTAATCAGTAGCAAGATTTTAAAAACGTGTCAATACATATTTTCTCTGGTACTTATGATTCTGTGCTTACAGTAGACGATGGTTGAATTCGTACGGTTCCTGCCTATCCCGTAGGGTTTTCGCATGGTTTTTAAGTAAATCTTCGCAGTATCGTGCAAAGGTAATTTCTTTTAAAGGTGAAAAGAAAAGTCACAAATTTATCAATTTCTTTGTTTTTGATCTGATGTAAGTTTTATTCGTCTTGAATACAAACGGAAATAAATACATCATAGTGTCCTAATTTTAAATCATTGAAAAATGAAAAATCTAGTTTATATGAATAAAACGTTGAATATATAACCTTAGCGTCGTTGTCGGCCGCACAAGCGAATCCACTGTTCCAAGTCTATAAGTAACACAAAGATTGAATTTGTGCAATCAGTACGATATTATCAGTGTCATTTTTTTAATTTAATTTTTATTTTCCTTGGTATTGAAGGATAATAATTCACTGTTCAAAGAAACTTAAATAATTATTCTATATTTCTTATAGGTTAGCAAAGTAATGCATATCAGCTATTTTTTGTAGGAATTCAATGTGAAACTGTTCAACGAGGTTGTTCTAATTACCCATGTCAACTAGGAACGTGTACAGATCTTCCTAACGGTTCATATTTCTGTAATTGTCCGCCTTCCGCAACAGGTAGGTGATAGTATCACTCATTTTTACATTTTTTTCTGATGATCAATTTGCTTCACTTAAGGATATAATTGTGATATGGTTGTCTTGCCATGTGATTCGAGACCGTGTTCAAACAACGGAACATGTATATCAGTATCAGCAACAAATTATACATGCATCTGTTCAGTTTCTTTTACTGGTACAACGTGTCAGCAACAAATTTTTACATGTTCAATAAACACTTGTGTAGGAAATTCAACGTGCGTCGTTGATCAGTTGGGACAACGATGTGTATGCCCTGCTGGACGATATGGAATAAAGTAACGTAACGTGTTTGAAATCTGCATACAGTTGGTGAATACTAGTCGTTATTGTTATAGTTGTGAACAAGTGACAACGTGTTATTCTAATCCTTGCGTTCGTGGTACATGCCGAGATATAGTAGCCAATGGTACCAATACATTTCAGTGTCTTTGCAGTCCGGGATTCGGCGGTATAATATCAAGTAACGGTAAATGTTAGATAAACTTCACTTTTTCTCCTTCTCGTGCACAGGTGCCTCATGTGACACACCAATCGATGTTTGTGCAAGTAGTCCTTGCTTAAATGGCGGAACGTGTAGCAACCGCGGCAATGGAATTTTTCAATGTACTTGTTTGCCTCAGTTTACTGGTAGGTGAAATAAAACTAAACAGAATATGAACTGATGAGTTTTATTGTTAAATTTGAAAAAGGGGTTTATTGTGATCAACCATTATGTGTCCCTGATTCATGTTTGAACGGAGCAACGTGCTCAATAGTAGAAAATGTTCTTCAATGTCAATGCCAGTGTGGATACACAGGTACGTGTTGAACAGACTCAGTTTTATTATAAATGTAACGTATCTTGTTTTTATATCCAGGCCGACGTTGTGAAAATCCAATCGATATTTGTTCAGCAGTTTTATGTCAGAATCAAGCAACACTCCTGATAAATTCGACAACATGTCAATGTTCCTGCGCTTGTTCTCCATCTTTCACTGGAACATTATGTCAAGCATCAGTTGCTTCAATGAATCGTACATATCCTGGTCAAATTCAAGTTCCAGTCGATCGCCTACAAGGTTCATCGTGGGCTTCGATCGTGGATTGTATTGATCAAGTTTGGAATAGTGTCAATACATTGCTTGGTACGAGTCATTATATATTAGCTTACACATTTTAAAACATTTATTATTTTTGTAGTATGCACAGCTCCTTATAATCTTGTCCAACCAACCGTATTTTATCCGTATTGTTATCGTCTTAATCCACAAGCATCACTAATTCGACAAACAGAATCGATTCAAGAATGTTCCACACAAAATTCACAACTAGTATGGTTTCAATCACCTGGTGAATTAACTGAACAATTGGTGCCAGCTATATTTGCACGTGGTTTAGGACGAGGTAGAAAATTTATCTATTAATCTTGTAATGAACTAACTGTTATCAATGCGCTAGATTTTTGGACAAGTGGTATATTTGATCCAATATTAAACCGTTGGCAATGGCTATTATCGGATAACAACTCTCGAATTGATATTGATCCGACGATATTAACACAGTTTAATATAGATTCAAGAGGTAATAAGTATTCAGCATTTTTCTCCCTGTTCATTTCTTTGTAAACGATTAATACATTTTAGTCGGACAATCTCTTCATGTTACATTTTCTCAACCAACTAGTGCACGGCTAGTTGCTAATTCGCCTTCTGAAAATTATGTAACTGTTTGTAAATTGGCCGCAAATCAAATATTTTTAAATAGTTTAACGCGTGCAATCGACTTAACATCATACAGAGATGGTTTCAATAATCAGTATGCATTAATCTGTTTGTACCTAAAATTTTCTCATATTATACGTGATAATTGTCTATCGTAGATCCCAAGTGATTATTTATCGTTTCAATTATATAATCTATCCTAATGTGCCATCAACAGTGTCTATTCAACAACCTACAGTCGCAAATTATCAAGAATTGTGTGGAGTAGCTAGTGAACCATCATCCTCGGTCAATCCCTATACTATAGATCTATGTGATTATTTTGATTCAATTAATAACACAAATGTGCAAAATATAATGCAAGGAATTAGTCACTACTATACAGTGAGACGATCTTCCGTATACACTTCGCGTATGTGGTATAGATATGAATTATTATAAATAATCACTTATTTACATTTCATATTCTAGAACAATGGACAGCAATACCGTTTACCGTACAACATTATTTGACAACAACCGGGTACGAAAATATAATCCGGAAACGTTTTGATCAAATATTTTTAAAAATTATTTCTATTTCTAGAGAAATTACCACAAGAATTCGTTTTGTAATAACAAGCAGTTCAACTGTATTGGGATCAAATATTGAACCATTAGCACCTTCCATTGATCTTTTGAACACAATCAATACTCTTTCGTCACACACCTATAGTTCATGTACACCATATGTATCCCTCAATCTACTTTTACCATTGAGAGTATGTTTACCATTAGCAGAAATACCATTGTGGACAACAGTTATCAGAGATGCAATTGCAACAGCAACCGGTAAGTGTAAAAATAACCACATTATTCTCCATACCTCTTATCTTTTTAAACTTACTAACACTTAGGTCAATCAACAATGAATATAATGTTGGAAGGCATTAGAGAAGGATTTACACCATCCGGGTATAATGAGACTGCTCGAACCTTTTATAAATTCAAGCATAACTGGTAAAGTTATTATTTTTTTTTTTAAGACAACCAGCAAATATTGTTTATTATTTATTAACTGTCAACGGTTCAACATGGAATTATACACAAAATAGAGCCTTGCTTAACATGGCAACATTGGAAGCGTATATTGTACAATACAATAGCTTTCTGATATGTCCAAATCAAACAACTATTTTACCTACACAATACAGTATTCATGATTATAATTCTCCATGTCCCACACCAGTATTGTAAGTATTGCATGAATTTTAAGTTTGAGCGTATCTGAAAAATAAACTAGTAATATCTTGATTATTTTCGAATATACAAGATTTAGTGTTAATAGTCAAGATGATTATACTTATTCAATCGTTCAAACTCCTGTCCATGTTAGAGATCGATCACAGTCACCACAAATTCGATCTGAGCGAACTTTTAAGGAAATAGTGAACATACGGAAGAATAGTTACGATAGACTTTTTAATGGACTATCTATGTGTATCAATGTTCACGAGATGTAGCCTCTGATTTTTAACACCGTGAGTGGGGGTGGGGATTTCCTGAAAGAAAATTAGCGAGCACTCACGCTCTGCGAGAGATGCGAATGCGATGCGAAGCAACTCTAATGTATTTTATGGTTTTCTAGTTATGGGATTAATAGAAATATAAGGTCTCAGTATTACTGTTAAGTTCAACTTGTGTCTAAAATATGTATTTGTGGTAATAATCAGTTGTTATATGAAAAGTTCAGCTAGTATTTCACAAAAACAAGAAATAAAATAGAAAAACAGGTATCTGTAAATAACAGTGTAGTAGATGTAGCTTTCTACTCCTCAAATAAGTTTATTATTCAGATTTACGTGAGTGGAGACGAGATCAAATTGTCGAAAAATTTCTCTTTTTCCCTGTGTTAATTACTTCCTTTCCTTAATATGATACTCTCGCACCTGAATTTGTAGAAGTAAAGCCCTAAATTAATTTCTTCTTATTTCTGTAGCTTTGAGTTGACAATAAATATTTAGGGCTTGTATTGTAAATTCTATAACTTTGCAAAGAAAGATCGTTTAGAGCTGGGAGAAGTCTCATTGTAATCAGAAATGTGCGGGCTACAAGCATGACTCATTACGAAAAGCTTTAGTTATTTTTCAGAGTTTCTGAAAAACTGGTTTTTCAGAAAATCGGGTCTTCAAAGCCCTAAGGACAGTTCTCATATTCATATTCGGAATCAGCATCATCGATAACCTATAACCCACTTTCGTTAAAAAAGCGAGGGGGTACTTCAAAACGTTTCCTCCTCTGATTAATTATCGTTTTTTTGAAAAAATTACAAGTCCCCAACGATTGAATCACCTACTTTAGAACGTCCTAATTATGAACTGAAACATCTATAAAGACTCAAAATAGCTCATTTATTAATTTAGATACACCACTTCGTACACGCAGTTCAATTTTCAAGGCACTATCTATAGTTTTTGAGATAATCGTTACAGAAATGACACACTTTTTCCCGTAGAAAGACGCAGTTTATTACTAGAATGCGGTTTTGCTTCGCACCGCATTCAAGAAACGTTATAAAGGATTCAGAACAATAACTGGGAATATAAATTATTTGCTTCTGTCAAATATTAATAGGCGTATTATTTGAAGGTGACAAAATGTAATCTAAAGTAAAATTATTATTTCAGATTACAACGACAATTAAACACAGCAATACAACAAGCTGGCATTATGAATGTCAATGTATCGGTGTTGGGTATTGAAGAAGCGATGGATAATCGAGGGTAAAGTTATTCTATAAGAATTAGATTTAGATATTATTTGGTATATTATTTTAGACAGGTGTATCGATTACCACTGATTTACATTCAACAAAATGGGAATTGGTTAGATGCTTCATTGCTAGTAAATAGCAGCTGGATAAACATATTTCGTTCGGCTCAATTACAGCGTTTAACTATGCGTGTATATCGATTAGCTAAAGCATTTTCGTATTTTTATTCAAATAAATTATCATCGACTGATCAAGATTATTTACAACGATTAATTTTAACATTATACAATTTAAAAGGTAAGAAATAAGAATGAAAATCGATTTCAATAACCACAAATCCGATCTGCCACAAAACTTTTAGAAAACGGCGCGCATATTGAAGAACAGTGACGATAGACTTTTTTATGCTTTTTTCTATTATATGATCATAGTCAAATACAATTAAATATAGATTTTTTATGATAGATTTTCGTTAATTGTATATCTTTATATCTGTACACATCAACAAATTTATGTGCTTCTTTTTCAGCTTCTGTAATAACGAATAACGTACAAATCCTCCTTGAAGATCCATATTTAAACACCAGGTACATTTTACTACATTCAAAAAAGTTCCATGGCTACTATTAATTATTTTATTTTAGTTCTAATGCCATCATAAATCGTGTCTACGTCTTTGCATTTTACAACGATCAAGAATTTGATGGTCGACTTGTTTCACCATTAGTTATTGGTAAAAGCCAATTTAATGGTCCATATATTCTTCAAACACCGTTAACCTATGTTTCAAATCAAATACCATTTTATGTAATTAAACAACGTGATACACAACAAATAACATTGACTGGCAAAGTTGGACAATCATTATCTCAAGCAGCATTAATTGATTATTGGCAAAATCCAATAAGACAAGGTAAAACATTTTGTCATATTCGAAAAATAAAAAAAATGATATGTATATTTTTAATTATATAGGTTTAAACACGACAACGGTTGTTATTCTACGAAGAGATCAAACAGTTTCATCACAAGGGTAAATATAAAATAAATATGATTTTAAAACTCTATTTCTAATGGAAACTCTTTTCTATCTTTTTAGTCAATATTACACTACAATAACATATATTGTATCGCAAGGTGGCACTACAATACCACCAGGTTGTTTCAATCCCGCATTATTACAATCATTGAATGGTCCATGCGGTGGACCAAATACTTATGTTAGTCAAATACCGTTTACATATTCAACATCGTTTATTGATTTACGTGGAAATTATAATCAAGTAGACTTAGAACAAGATAACTTCATTGCCATATTAAACACGGCATTACAACGATTAGGAATTACAAATGCAGGTAAATAATAGATATGACCCTGATCATCACACTTAATTCATGTATGAGATTTAATAGTGTCAGAAACATTAAAATTTTACTACTTTTTTCTTCATCAACGTTAACTCTTCTCTCCTCTTCCCCCCCCCCTAGCCATCAAGATCTCTGTTGACAAAAATAGTATTTTTCCCGTCGCTCTGTAGTCGAGATACATAACATGTATAAATTTAGAAAAGTCAAAAAATTGAACTTTGTTTTAGGATCCTTTTTCTCCTTACATGCAGGATACTTTCTCATGACGCGTATTACCATATATTGGTTAAAATGTTTACTGTTCAATTAAACAACTTTAGTAAATTTTACAAGAAATAGATAGGCAGTAGTTTGTAAAAAAAAATCGCATGGTCACTGGAGTAACCATTGGGAGGAGAGAAAGTGAAAATGACTTTTATTAAGTACATATTTTATTGTCTGTATATAACGCTTGCTAATTGTAGATAAGGTTAATTATAAATATAGAGATGTCTATGTCAGATCTTCTTAAACTTTTTCGTATCAAGTTTCTGTGTTGGTTACTTTTTCTCTGTTCTACCCATCTACTTGATCTGACCATACTATTAGCATATTGAGTACACCAAGGACCAATTCTAATGGCCATTCTTTTAGTAGCTCAGCTGCAATCGTTATGAAGGGTAAAAATTTAACCAATTTCTTTGCTTTAGTGTCAAATATGTTTGTTGAATCGCGTTTTGGTTTGGATATGAGTGTAGTCACACGTGTGTATACATTCTATATTGCGCCTGATCAAAATATAACCCAGAATATATTGCAAACACAATTACAGGTTAGTATGAACGTTGTCCGTCCGAAAAATTGTAAAATCTTTTTAACACGTTCATTTCAATACAACCTTCGACGTTTTTTTTAGCCCCCTCTGTTCACGACAATGCAATCAATTAAATACAGTTTATTTAATGGACAATCGATTGCTCGTACAGACGTTGATCAATATATTTCAAATGTAACTTTACCATTAACAACAGAACGACGTCAAGAAATAGAAAATTATTTAACATCATATAATAGCCGTAAAATTTTTCATTTTTAGACTTAAATACATTATTTAGTGGTAATCTTTGCTTTAGAATATGGTATTGCAAAAATTATCTATGCTGAAAATATTGATGGTAATCAGACACGATTTTATTTTGTGGTAAGTGAATAAAATATTCTCACATTTTCGATACCATTTATTTTGATTTATTATTGTAGTTTATAAATGGAACACAATTGTTAACACGATGTGATATTGATATCTATTATCCGGGTGTGGATGGAAATCGTGATAATACCTATCATAGTATCTTTCTTGAACGAAATGCTTTTGTCTCACAGCCAGCTGCATTAGCTGATGGACTTGCTCAAGTTTGGACAAATCAAAATACAGGTATGAAACTTTATTTTGTACATTAACATCTTGTTGTATCTTTTAAACTTTATAGGAATTAGTGGAGTCATACCAGGACTATTGTATGTTCAATTGAAAAATCAAGAACAATATATTTGTCAAGGAGGGTATGAAAATATTTTTCCTAAATTCTTATTATTCTATTAATAATTTCTTTGATTATATTTCAGACGAAGATCTGTACGTGTGGATTATCTTATTAAAACATCATCTTCCATTATCAATGTGAACACATTAATAACTCCTCCAAACATAGCTTTTGAACAACTCTATGGACAATATGTCAATGTATGAATAAATTTCATATTACATTGTTTATAGTTTAGTTTTCTTCTGTTTTCAGATGAGTCGATGTTATTCGTATCGTGCTCATTGGATTTATTCAACAGAACCTCGTTTTTCAAATGAAATTATTCGTATTACATTACAAAATGCATGGCGTCAAACAAACAGTAAGTCTTTCGAGTTATCAGACCAAAAGTCATTTCTTTATTTTCTACTAATATTAAGAGTTTATTGATTTCCTTTCTCATACAGCAATTAGTAAAAATGAAAGTTTCATATTTAGATAATTTATCCATTGATGTGTCACCTGATTTTCTAATTGATCAAACATATTTGACTAATTTAAAGTAAGCATAGTCGAAGGACTATTTCTCGAGCAATCAAAATTTTCTATTCCGTATTTTTTTTCTAGTCAATCACTTACACGTCTCATGTACACAGTTAATATTAATGGTTCAGATGTAACAGCTTTAATAGCTTCACAACCATCTAGAATTACTTTATCAACTCTATATACGGGCATTCCATTTAAACGATATTCAATTTATATTGATGGTAGTAGAATAAATTTAACTAGTCCAATAACATCACAAACGATGAATCAAGCAATAAGAACGAGTTGGTCAAAAGCAAATGGAAATTTATTTACATCCAATGATTTAATTATTAATAGTATTAATAGTACAATAGTGGAGTAAGATTAACTTATCCCATTATATTCTCTTAAATCAACTAATATGATATTTTCAGTAATGGTCAAACAAAAGTTGATTATACCATTGGTTTAAAAAATTCTATTCACTCAGATATTGGTGATTATGTTCAACCATCTGAACGTCTTTATACACAAATATTTAATCAATCATTATTGTCAACACTTGTTTACAGTCGATATATAAATAGAGATAGTAATCAAGTATCAGGAACAGAAATAACAAGTTTATCACCATTTTATGGGGTAAAAATAGTTTATTACGATAAACAAATGAAGATGAATATAAATGTACATAATTTATTCATTTTTATTTTTTAGTTGGAATGGTGGATAATACTAGTTATCGTTCTTGGTGCTTTAATGTTATCAATTCTATTTTGTCTACTCTGTTATTTATGTTACAGAAGACGGTAAGTGAAAAAGATGAATTGATATTTAATATTCTAATTGCAACATTAACAAATAACTACTTTTTATTTCTGTTGAAAAAGTTCTAACGTATAAGTTTCAAAATATTTTCTTTTAATGATAATGCATTAACACAAAATACTTTTATCATTTTATTATTTTTTTGATCATCAAGGTCATTCAATCCACTTTGTAAATCTAAATCCATTATTCATGTTCTTGGTCAAGATAACAGTGCTTTACTTACACGACCGACACGTACATCATCTTTGCTACTCGATGAGACAGTTCTTGCCGCTTCACGTTTAACTCCATTATTATCCATGCAAACATATGATGGACCTTATCTATCTGAGCATTATCATTCTCCTATTCGACGTAGAAGTTTAATTGAACTATCAGACCGACCACAACAACAACAATTGTCGTCTACCATAGATAGAACTGTAAATGCACCATTGCCACCACCGTTGCATGTTCGTCGAATATCATCAAATACCATCGACATCAATGAAAATGATTGGAGTGGTTTAAATCGTTTGATGACATACAATTACAATCCGTACATTTCATCACAAGAACAACATCTCGTAGTCTCTTCCACGACTAATGATGATGATATAAGAAGAAGTTTATCATTAAATGGATCATTATCAGATGTAATATTGACAAAAAAAGGACATCAGTTGTAGTATTATCATTTTTATTTCTAATCAAATTTTTTTTACATATATTTTTACGCTTTCTTCTTCATATGACAATCTTTGCTTTATGCTTTTTTTTTTGTTTTTGTTTGGAGTAGAACTAAGTTGTTAGAATGGTATGACTTTTTTTTGTAGACAGGAAAGAAAATATGGTGAAGTGATTATTCAAAACGGTACACGACTTCGTCGTAAAGATTATTATAAAAATTATCGGTCAAAAATGTCATTAACTGATTCAAATTCGAGTTTAACAACAATATTTCATCGACCAAAACAGTGTCCAAATCGTTCACCGTCCAGTAGTTTTAGATATATACTACCGTTTGATTCAAAACGTACAAGAAAATCGATTGATAATATCTCGAATAAGAAGAGTGTTTACACCATACGCGATGTACCAATCAATCCAGTTTATCACTTATATCATGAACCATTATAAATGGTTACATAGAACAGTATACAGGAGTTTGTTATAGTTCTAGTTGTTTTTTTATAACGTTGTTATTTGATGTTTTTCAAAAATAACAAATATTTTGATATAAAATAAAAGGTGCTACAAAAAGTCTGAGCATACAAACCATATGAGATCTTCATTCATTTCTTTTTTTGTACAATAATGTACAATATTTGGTTACTCTTCGTCCATACATTAAACTACACAACAAATTCTAATTTAAAACGAGATTTTGAAAAGTAACGACCACATATAATACGTAAAAATCAATAAGTGAACAGAAATATTTACAACAAGATCGAAAAAACGCATGATGTCACCGAACATTTCTTTTCACTTTAAATTTATCTGTAAATGTCATCATTAGACTGAATGAAACAACTCACTGACCACTATAAAAGTAATGTCTATTAGACATCAGTAAATTTGAAGAAAAGTTAGGTAACCTCTGACATCTCATGTAGAAAAAAGTTCGTATTTACATTAAAAATTGAATACAACAAAAGAAATCGATTGAATATAATTTCATACGACCGGGATCATTAAAGAATGATTATCAAGTGTCACATTTTCAAACTTTAAATTACTTTTATATTTGTCAGATAAACGTTGATAAACTGATTTTAATTTAAATTCTGTAATTGGTTCATCATATTGTTTTAATATCATTTCATATTCATCAATAATTTCATTCATTGTTAAATAGGTTCCACTTTCTAATGTTAACCATAGCCATTTACACAATTCATCAAAACTATTTTGATAGTTATTGTCAAGATTATGTTCTGGAAGTGTATTATCGTTATCTGATGTTATTATTGGAAAATTACACGGTAAACTATAAAATTTTTCATAACATTTTCGATGAACGTATGTATTAATTATTGAATGTTCAATTTCTTCATTATAATAATAGTAGTAGCCTCGCATTAATTTTTGCTCTGCACGTCTCGTTTTAACACGAACAGACGTTTTTTTACCAGTTTTTATTTTTAAATCACATAGACAACATATACGAAGAGTTTCATACCATCGATCTTTATGTTTACGTGGATGCATTAGCAAGGTAATTATTTAATATATTATTTTATTATTTTTGATATTTTCTTTTCTTCATCTAAAATAAAAGTTGATTATTTAGATTTTTTGGAATTGTGTATGACAAAGAGATCACTAGCCTTCTAGATAATTCTTATCCAAGGATCAGAAGTGAAGACTATGAAACAGGTTTGACGAAGAGATTGAAACTTTAGATTCAAAATTTTTAATATTTGAAAAATTGAAATATTGTGATTTGTAAGTATTTATTACAAAATATCTCTTGTTCAATTTATCTTTTGTATGTGCATGAAAGATGAAATCCAAAATGAAAGAAATGTGTTGAATAGCAAAAGTAAGTAACAATGTTGTGAGACCTATCTATCAATGGTTAAAGAAACAGATAATTTGACAAAAAACAAACCAATAGAAATTTGATTGTTGTCCTCATCAGAGCCATATAAAGATGTTGTTATAAGAACGCACTATATATGAATGATAATGTGTGAGCAAATTATATACAGACCTCTGAACTCTAAGTGAAGATTAAGTCCAGGTGTGTCTTGAGGATCTGTTTTTATAACCATCAAAGCAAGGCGGTTAAATGGAAACGGAGCCAGACAAAAGACTGCAAAGTGAAAAATTTTTCGCGACTCATTTTCAAATCGAAGCAAAGAATTTTCAAAATTAGAACCGAGCAGGCAGTGTGTTACCGCAGTGCGCCTCGGATTAATTCAGAGATTATTTTGGACTGAATCATGTAAGTTTTATTTTAATTAGTTGTTTTAATTGTCTCCAGTTTTATTTCCCGATCTTTTTGATTGTTAGACACAGTGGCGGCGCGAAGAAGTTGGAGCAGGAGGCTGTAGTTCCCAAAATCGTAGTAAGTCCAAAAACATTTTCTGACAAGTTTTATAGACGATACAAAACTCGCCACTTTTTCATTTTGAACATACTGTTGTATAATCAGTTACCATCACATTTGTAGACACACGAAGAAAACTATATTTTTTGTTGCTCCTTCGCATAGTGTATTCAAAAACAAAAACAATACAAAACAAAATACTAAATTCTACGATCAATTGTTTTTTTGGAATTTTTGCTCAGTGTTACTCCACTCAGCCAATTAATAATTCTAATCCGGACTTGTACTTGTCCATCTCTTGGGGGAGGCGGTGTTCTACCGTGTGACAGTACTTTCGTCACGTTAATTTTCGTCAATTTAAGGTAAATTTAAGGTCACATTTGTGCAACCCCACACTTTAGTCACAAAAAGTGGTGAACTTGCGTAACCAACTGTGTAACATACCTACAATTATCGTCACACCCCATCGCGAACTTTCGTCACAACCCAAAAAGAACCCTTGTCACAAAAGGGGTTAACTTTTGTAACCACTATTTAAAGCTAGATAAACTTTCGCCACATGACGAAAGAACTTTTGTCCTAGAAAACAGTCACTGGACATACATACATAGCAGGTGATTGTTTTCTTCTAACATGTATATGTAGAATAGAAGAGATATACACAGATCATTTCTCCTGTATATCAACATAACGTGAAGAGCTTTTTTACATGCAATTTTGTGCAGTTCTCCATTGATTTTTTATTTTTTCAAAAAGAATAATGTGATCGAAAATAAATAATTTAATGCAGAATAAGTACACAGCAGTTTTAATTAAAATGCGAGTCAACAGAAGTTGAGTGGTGTGGGGCGAATCAAGAATAATTTCGCGATCATGCCAGTATTTGTTGAATACCTTTTTTAATCTTAGAGATCTTTTTGCGTGCGTTGGCAGTCATATAGACAAGGCTCTCATTGATACACTTGTGAAAAATCGGCTTAAAATGCTTCAAAGTATCAGACTTCCAAGGGTTTGACTGGTTCGCCCCACAGCTTTTCTTGATTCGTCCCGCTTGGGGTGATTCAAGAAAACATATAGCTCTGGGTGGGGTGAATCAAGAACACTCGTTAAAATAAACCGTATTTTTTAACTTTTGTAAAAT